ATTTATTAATATGGTTGGTCTTTACTATGGCTATGTTAATTCAAGCTCAATATGTACCTACTCTGTTAAGTTGTTCTAAGATCTAAAGAAACGTTTAATAAATAATAATAGGGTAATAGGTCATTGCGAGACTTGCAAGACTCTTGCTGCAAGACTAAGACCAAGACCAAGACTCGGAGCGCAATACCAAGACCAAGACCAAGACTTGCTAAGTCTCGTCTTGTTCTTGCATTTGGGCAACACTAATATAAATTATCAAGAATAACTCAAACAGATCAGACCTTAATCAAATTTATATGGGACCACATGTGAAGCACCAACTTTAAAATGAAAAAAGAATCATTCCAATTGATACACCCAGTAAAAGGTTATGAGGTAACACACATAAAAAATATTTATACGTGGTAGAGCCAAGCTGCAGCTATATTAGTAGTATAGTTGTAGCACGAATGGGTCGGCTCGACCGGGGAAGGACCACACTCTCACAGAATACCAGCGTAAAATAGCAGGTTAACACTGCTGAGTTTCGTATGGTGAGTGTAGAGAACCGGAGACCCTTTTTACTGGAAAAGAGGCATTCCATTTTAGTCCTCACTGGTGACAACGCGTCTGCATTTTGATTCGCAAACGAGGGTAAATGTAGATTTCTATGGACCACAGCAACCACTTACCATCAGGTGGACTGTGTGCTCGTTTGTCACCCTATCCTATATAAAAAAAAACGTACAGTCGAATTGAGTACCGTCTCCTTGTTGAAGTCGTTAGACAAAGAATTAGTCTTCTCGAGTTACGAAGAATTGACCGTAACTTAGTGCGCAATGCATTAAGCCCGGAAAGCCCGTCGAGTAGTACACATAGAAGTCTTTGTTCATCACCCTGCCGCATCCAGGATCGGGATCTTGGGCAAACATATTACAATGCCCATGCAAAGACTTTAAGAAATAACTTAGAAATAGGCAAATACAGGATAAAAATGTAGCTACCGCAATACATGTAGACGGTTTTTACGAACAACAGAAGCAAAGGTGAGAAACTACGATTACAATATTTGTAATAATGTAACTTTTAATGTAGACTCCAAACTGTGGACATTACAGCAAACCTCCATTCGGTGAATATAATTTTTAAATAAAACATAAATATAAAACTTAATTATATATTTTATTAATATATACAAAATTACTATTTTAAATTAATATTTACATGTTGGTTTTATTATTTATACATAGAATATGTAAGTGTAGCCACTATTTTGGTAAAATGAAGGTGGGTATCTATCTATATGTGACTTTTAAACACATCATTGAAGTATACTGTTCACATATATTACTAATACATAAGCACAAACTAATAAGAAGTACTAATAATGTATACCTCAGGAATGCAAATAAGAGAAATGTTTGTTTTGTATTTTTCTAACATTAAAAAAATTGTTAAGAATATTAAGTTTATTGATTAACGTTAAACAGATTCGTTTAATTAAATAAATAATGCCGAGAATTGTGTACATATTATAGTACTTGCTTATAATATTAATACAAAGATTTTTTCCTTTCGTAGTATTTGATATACTTAAATTAATTTAAATTATAACTGTATTATAATTGTATCGTTAAATTAAATTAAATTATAATTGAAAATTACTCAGTTTAAAAAGTCACAGGAGATTATATATATATATATATATATATAAGCACTGTTATTTATTTATTAGACTTGCTAACTTATATACTAAATAAAAATTATTTATTTTTATTTAGTACTAGCGATCCGCACCGGCTTCGCACGGGTGATTTCTGGATCTCAACAACAGCGCCACCTACCGGGTCTAATAGTGAATCTAAAGCATCCAGTGACAAAAAATCATCAAAATCGTTCGACCCGTTTTTAAGTTTTAGCAAGATTAACGGACTACAATTGCTTTTTATTTATAGAGATTTTGGCAATTTAGTACAATTCTCAATCCTAGTAGTTAGTTCTAACTTCTAATGAAATTACTTAAAAGATATAGGTAGTTTATGAAATTAATATATTAATATATGTTTTTGTATTAGTAGGTTTTTTCAAATACCTAATTATGTAAAAGAAAGCTACGCGTGGCAGACATCTTGAAGCTGGTTCCCATCATCTCTCTAGATCTTTTACATCTAAACAAGATGGTTATATCGCCATCTACCGGAAGATATGAGATTTTTCTGGTACCTATGATACTCAGATCACGGGAAAAATAACGCTTTGTATCGTTGTTAAAAATTAGACCTTTTGGCAGTGGCGGCGTTAAGGGGGAGGGGCGGACCGCCCCGGGTGCCAAGCACCAAGGGGTGACAATGACAACTCACTCGCAGAGCCAGAGAATACTTATAGACGGCTCCGTGGCGCAGTGGCTTAGCAATTAGTTGCAGCGCTGCACTGGGGGCCGCGGGTTCGAATACCGCACGAAACAAGTATTTGTATGGTCTACAAATAATTGTTCCGGGTCTGGATGTTTGTCCTCGTGCAATTTATGTTTGTAAACTGCCTCCATGATACAGGAGAAAATCCTAGTGTAGGGGTAACTTTTTTTTAGAAAAAAGAATTACTCCGCAAAGACATACTAATTAATAAATACCTACCTACTACAGTATCAACCTGCATACAAATATTATATCTTAATATGTATCTCAAATTTATTTTTATTTACTTTCAAACATAATTTCCTAAATAAATGAGTTCAGGTTAGGTAGCTCTTAATCGAGTGAGTAACGCGATCGAAGAAGGTAAGTAAGGGTTCAAGAATATGATAACGCTGCAGCCATGACAAGAGTTTATGGTGGAGTACAAGCCAGAATCAAAGAACGCAATCCCAAAGCATTCTTTACGCCTTGTGCTGATCGAAAAATCTACGTGGAGTGCACTCATTTGGGAACGTTAATTCTAGTTTAACTTTATTATACACACATCGACGGGAAATTTTAATGAAAAGTGTAAGCGTATCCGTAAAAAGACTATCAGAGACAAGATGTAGTGCTCATCACGACCCTGTTAAACCACTGCGGAATAATTTTAAGAAACTTGTATCAACACTCGAAGACAAAATGTGATCCGCAGAAAAAACGTCATATACGACAGAAGCACCATCTACACTCTTACCAGCTTTGTGTGACTTCAGTTTTATATGCTAGAGTTATGCTATTTTAGAGTGAAGTCCTAAAAGAAGTTAATCAGACGCAAAAGTAATACAAACATCTGAACTATCTCTGGAAAAATGTGTGGTAGAAATCAAAGCCCTAAAATTTTTCTTCAAAGCCAACGTATTGAAATAGTGGAAATAGCTATTTCCTACTCAACAAAAAAATGTAAGAACTTGGACATTTCGATTGAAGGAAGAAGAGAAAGGCGGAGATTGCGAAAACGTTTGACAGGAGAATTGGTCGGATATGTTGGACTAACATTGCCAGAGGAGCTGAACGTGAACGTTGAACGTGGTAGAGCCATGCCGCAGCTATATTATGGTTGTAGCACGCATGGGTCGGCTCGACCGGGGAAGGACCACGCTCTCACAGAAAACCAGCGTAAAATAGCAGCTTAACGCTGCTGTGTTTCGTTTGGTGAGTGTAGAGAACCGGAGACCCTTTTTACTGGCAAAGAGGCATTCCATCTTAGTCCTCACGGGTGACAACGCATGTGCATCTTGAGTCTTTATTGAGGATAGATGTAGATGTCTATGGGTCACAGTAACCACTTACCATTAGGTGGACTGTGTGCTCGTTTGTCACCCGATCCTATAAAAAAAAAAAAAAAAAGAGAGCTAGGTTAGAACGTCTTGACATATTTTTCGAAAAACTAGACCACCGTTACAGGGAAATGGGTTATATTCTCGTAACATTTAGTGTTGTTTAGCCTAAATATTACGAGAATGTTTAGCATGTTTAGCATGTTTTGTTTTATTTTGGGGGGTGCTTGATAAAAAAACCGCCCTGGGTGCCAACCCACTCTACGCTGCGACTGCCTTTTGTGAAAATAGTTCGCTTTTTAGAACAAAAGTGAAATATTTCCCGATTGACATAATATTTTCTTTCCTCCTTTTTATTTTTCAGTCATTCACATAATTCAATTTGATGTTTTTGTATATTTCTGTTAAAATACTTTGTGGCAATTCTATTATCTATTGTAGTCTGTTATAGACAAATCGTTACAGTATTATTAAAATAAATAATTCAAATTCCTCTAACGAACTCAAAATGTACATAAATCGTAATTATGTAATAACATAATAATTTAAAATACATTTCATTCGGTAAATATACCGAATGACGTATTTTAAATTTTTAAACAAGTTGAAAAGATAGTTAATAAAATAATTACCACGATGTATACCTTAATATAATATTAACAATTTCGGTAAAACGCAGTTAAAATTCTTTTGTCTTACAAAACCATAGAGCAACACCGGCCACCAGTGCACCGAAGCGGTGGCCCGTGTTGCTCTCTGTACGAAACACACTAATTATTTACTTAGGTAGGTACAAATAAGGTAAATTTTCAAAAATGTGATGAAATAGATTTTTTTGGTTATAGTATAATAAATGCTTCTTTGTCTCCTTAGAGTTTTCTTAAATTAATCTGATCGCAGTTTAATATTAAAAAAAAAACTGTTTTATCTTCTATATGCAACTAACGTAATAACGACTTCTTCGTTAACTAATTATTATTTTAGCTTTTAATATTTATTTATTTATTTACTTATTTACTAACTCACAATATGTAGTTACATTATTATATATAGTATATACAGCTCAAAATGAGAAAGTGGGAATAGGACCATTACTTAAAAAAACACAATCGTATCTTCTTACAATCTGGATTTAAACCAACTTTGTTTTGATAAATCTTAAATAGTTAGACTACTATTAACATATTATGCACTTAAATTTAATGGCACTTGCGATTTTGTCATACAATTTATTGTCATATGATACATTTTGTTCAAAACTAGGTCAAACATACTTAAAAATACGCGGTCATAGAATAGTTTCACCAGCTGAATAATGATAATGCCGAGGCTTTCTGTATGATTGATGTTGCGGCGGTCTGTATGTGGAATATTTGTGTGGGTGTCGAGGCAGACTGTGAGAGTGAGCGGCGTAGCATTGTAAAGTTAACGGAGCAGGCGCTGGACCCGTAGGACACTTCGCGAGTGTAGGCTTTCTAGGCCCTGAAATCCTTTTCCAAAATGCTTTCAAGCGGGGCGTCGCTATCCAAACAGCAACCATAACGCCCAAAATTTGTGTCGCAAAAATTCGGAATAAAAACACCCAGAACGCTGGACGAGGTTGAGTTGATGGTTCTGTTGATGGAACAGGAGCAGCTAACCAATCGTCACGCCATGTGTATTCGTATATCCAAGTGATCAATATGCAGGTTGATGGAACGGCGTAAAGCGCTGCAAACGTTCCTAATCTTAGTAAGCTTTGATCTGTATGCGGTTGGGGTGGCGCATTTAAAAGCGCCGCAGGTGCTGGCACAGGCGGGGAACGCTGTAGGATAGCACGAAGTCCCGACGCTAAGAACACGCTGCCAAGTAGCAAGCAAATAGCTTCAGGAATGATGACTAAAGCCAGCAAAGATTTGCTCGACTGATTCCCCACGAAACACGTACCTGAAAAATAGATAATTTGGTTAGAGCCTTTTGCTGGATACTCCAGTGGATTTGAAGTTTTATTTTTATTGTTTTTTGTAGACAGAAACATTATTTCTTAAAAGAAAATTGTTCATTGAATAAGAAGTACAATAAGAAGTACACTGAATAAGGTTACATTATTATTTAATTTAGCATTAGTAATTAGGTCTTCTAGTATTCCTATATTTAATTGAATTTAATATAGTATTCTCTCGAGTGCTATTTATTAAGTTGAATAACATTCCGTTTCCCAATAAAGCAGCTCTCAAAGTGAACACCTACACAAACAGCCGGCAAGAAAAAAAAAAGCCTTGCATTAATAAGGCAGTCGTTAAAAGGGCCGATTTAAAATTGAAATACGAGCGTGCGATGTGGAAAGGTGTCGTATTTAACGGCTCAAAGAATGGTCGCGCATTTCTTTTAGCGATTATAATGGAATCGAAAAATAAAACAAAAATAAAACGACAATACACTTGGCCAGATTGAAACTACAATATGCCTGAGAAAAGGGCTGTGTGGTACTTCACTGCACTCACACTGCCTACTTTAAAAAATAATATCATATGTTATGTGTATACCTTAATGCCTGAGCCTTTAGTTATGTTAGAGGTTTTGTTATAATTGAAAAATATTTAAGGTTTAATTTGACGGAATAAATCATTCTAAAAATCTTGTATGTTGTCGAACATTTAATGTAATATATATTCTACGTGTTTTAAATAATGTATCCACTCCATAGCGTCGCCAAGGGTATTGCTCACCACTTAAAATTAAAAAAAATTTAGTCAAATTCAAAGCAACCAGTTTTATTTATGGTACAGTCAAGAGCTCTTATTACAATTATTCTTCTATTCGAGTTCTTATTACATTGCCGTGGAGGTAAGACTCGCAATGGAAGTGTAAAGCTTCATGTGCTCTTGTAACCCCCCCCCCCCCCGCATCTGCTGGCGACGCCATTGTATCCACTCGATAAAGAATACTAGCTGTGCTGTTAAAACTACTAATATAGAATATTCTATATTCTAATTAAACTCTCCAAATCAGCTTAAGGGATATCCAGGCTGGGCGGTGTTTAGTCCATAATAACGTATTCCTTTGTTTTATTCCTGGCTAAGTTGACAACCACACTAGAGCTAAAAATATTTTTTATAGGATAAGGGTGACAAACGAGCACACAGTCCACCTGATGATAAGTGGTTGCTGCGGCCCATAGACGTCTACATCTATTCTGGATTACAAATCAAAATGCAGATGCGTTGTCACCCGTGAGGACTAAGATGGAATGCCTCATTTCCAGTAAAAAGGGTTTCCGGTTCTCTACACTCACCATATGAAACACAGCAGCTTTATGCTGCTATTTTACGCCGGTATTCTGTGAGAGTGTAGTCCTTGCCCGGTCGAGGCGACCCATTCGTGCTACAACTATACTACTAATATAGCTGCAGCATGGCTCTACCACGTATGGAATCTAATCTAATCTATAACCATGTCCCTGTTTTGTTCCTTTTTTAATTACTAAAACTGGCTAGGTTGCGGCTGCCAAATAGCAGCATAATTACAGGCGGTGAGGTATTCCTTCTCAGTCCTCTGGGATGACAATGCATCTTGTAGCCTTCTTTCTATGAAGTTAGCTGCAGGTGCCCATGGACTGCACTGGCCGAATGACCATAGTCTGTTACTTCTTGTTGCTGAACCGGCCAAATTATTTCGCTATGCATGTATCTGTAAGGTAAATGAGTTCTCGTTCTCCATTGCATTGAATTTTCTTTCATGCCACTGTACCACATTAGAAACTTTTTCATTAAGTGTTATCATTTAGATTTATTAAGATATGCCGGTTTTTGTTCCAACGAACCTATCGTAAAACATAATTACTGTGCAAATATAAAACAGTTTTAATAAGGGCCGGAAACCTTTTGATAATCTTATCACGCCAGTTATGTAGTAAAAAGCCGACAATCTCGGTTAAAATCAAATATATTCTTATGGTTTATGTTTTAAAACCTCGTCCGTAATACAAAGAGAGATGCAGAGAATTTAGACATAATTCTGTGATAAATATGTATTCTATTAATTAAAAGAACTTACAGAACATTATCAGCGCGGCATTCTTGAACAACGTTTGTCCTTTTAAACTTTTATTAAGAACTAAATCGTTCGTAGCCTATGCGATAAGAGACCTTTTGTTAACGTTTATGTAATGTACACTGTTCACACTTTTATTAGTTTAACCTGTATTATGTATGTATGCATATGAGCGGCATATATTCATGTATGCATATAGATGAATATATAGATATATGTAACGGAATTTTATAAGTATAATTCAGTTTTCACCCTCTTTCGGATGTCTGAATAATGACGGTCCATAACTATGACATATTTTATACGTGGTAGAGCCATGCTGCAGCTACATTAGTGGTATAGTTCTAGCACGAATGGGTCGGCTCGACCGCGGAAGGGCCACGCTCTCACAGAATACCAGCGTTAAACAGCAGCAGCAAAGCGCTGCTGTTTCGTATGGTGAGTGTAGAGAACCGGAGATCATTTTTACTTGAAACGAGGCATTCCATCTTGTCCTCACGATTGACAACGGGTCTGCATTTTGATTCGTAATCGAGGATAGACGTGATGTAGATGCAGGTGAACTGTGTGCTCGTTTGTCACCCTTATCCTATAAAAAAAAATACCTAGTAATCTTACTGGGATATTCTCAACTCATGATCAATGCGTGTTGTATAAGATTTTCAATCTTTAATTCTCTCTAGGCTAAATTTTCTGTGTTTTACAGCAGTGTGGTATTTAAGGCTCTTATAAAAACAAACAACACTAACGATTATTTGACTGCTGCTACTGCTAAAATTTACAAGTTTAAAACGATTTAGTTTGCTATTACATATAAACATTTAGTCCAAAGTGATTTAGATTTTACAATACACTATAGAGTCAGCATTTATTATCAACTGGAGCTTGAACATACGTGGTTGGTACTTAAAGACAAAACGTTGAATGCGTTTGTTGTATTGAATGCGTGCTCCCGCGCACTCATACGAGATTTAATCGCTTTGAAAACGCCGCCGATCAAATAATCAAGGAGGGAATATTAAACCAAGAATCGCCATCGCCATTGTGGCACGTCGATACGGATGTATGTTAGGATTGTATTGATTCATTGCATTCGAACAATGAGAGTAGGTATTCGTTATGAATGAACAAGTATATTTATTTTAAGTATGTTTTATAGAAAAAAACCAATACGCGGTACTTATGTATTATATAGTTCGCTAATAGGGAATATTTTTTCTAGAAAATTAGAATTAAGTAGTTTTTTTCTGGATAATGAATAATAAATTATCATTAATTTTAATTTGAACTCGGACACGGATTTACGTACCTAATGTATTTATTGTTTTTTTTTTCATTTCATTTTTACTCATTAGCCAACTTCGAAAAAGAAATAGGTTAACAACTCTAGATCCCTGCTGCTCTCTGTCTGTTCCTTATGATCCATCACATCCGGTTCAGCCATTCCGAAGACGGACAGATAGACAGACGCATAAACGTTTTAAAATTGCTAAAGTATCCCCCTGAGCTTAACAGAAGCCATTTATTTTCATATTAGAGACAGATACTTAAATTTTATTTATATGTATAAGATAGTTTTAACGTTTTTCGAATATTTTTGCTTATGATTTTTATGTATTTAGAAGAGAATATATATAAAGCTTTATTATTACCCGTAAGTTCATCAGCATCTACATCTCTTGTGACCAGCACGGCTGCAGCTAAAGCGGCTGGTACACCCCAAGCTGCTAGCTGCAGCAGAGAGGAGTGTCGGTCGTTGCGAGCGGAGACAGGGCTTGCTGGCGGTCGGAGAACGCTGGCCCGCCACGCGCCAGCTGCCACCACCCACCTATAAAGAGACACATTTTTAGTTATTACTCAGTTATTTCAACGTTATGTACACTAAGCGTTACGCAGTAGGATAGGAAATAGGAAAAGCTGTTTTCGATATTTATGCCGGAGGAGTAGTAAAATAGTTTGGAAAGTCCAAAAGAGCACGCCTCATGAGCGTTTCATTTCATTTTTATGAAAAATAAATTGTATTCCTGACTTTTAAAATATTATATTATTTAAGTGTTTTAAATTTAGCGCTCTATTATTTTAACAGATAATGTCAAAAAAATTTATAATGTTTACCAAAATAAATGGATTACACAAAGTATATAAAAATCGATATAGGCTGTATGGTACATTTGTCCTTTGTCTATCAAGGGCTAAAAAGTATGAAAGTACCTTTAAATTTTTAATAGCAATAAAAGTTGAAAATCATATTATTAACAAACGACGCTTCCTGGGCTATTGATATGAAACAGTGAACCAGTTGATGTAATTCAGAAGCTAACAAAAAATACCCGGTCTCGATTCGTAAATTTTTTTGGGAGTTGTCGTGACCATACAAAATCAACATCCGAACGTCCACGTAATTTATTTTCAAAGTAGCAGTATTAAATGATTTTTTTAGAAAATGTAAAATGGATTAATTAGAGTGTTTTCTTGATATGCGCCTACTCATATTATCGTATAAGAGCAATATGGTTATGATACAGATAGAGGCATTTTAAGAACACAAAATTGCTTGACCATGACGTGTCGAGAGTAAAGCACACTAATAACGCATCGCGAAATGAGGCGTGCAATAAGATAAAAATAATATGTGCTACAATTCAATTTTATGCTTCACCTTTATATATAGTGCATAAACTTTTCGATTCCCGTCGGTACAATAGAGTTTGTAATAGTTGTAATTTGAAATGTCAAATTCGTACTAAAAAAACTAAAAACCGATTCTGCAATGTTTGAATATTTCTAAAATATGCAGAGGCGCGGCTAACATTTTTCTGCTTAATAACCCTCTCAGGATCAAAATGAACGGAAACCTATGTTGTTTTATAAAATAAGAGTGACAAACGAGCCCACAGTCCACCAGATGTTAATTGGGTGCTATGGCCCATAGACATCTATATATCCTCAATTAAGAATCAAAATGCAGATGCGTGGTCATCTCTGAGGACTAAGATGGATTGACTCGTTTCCATTTAAAAAGGGCCTTCAGTTCTGTACACCAACAGCTTTTATTCTTTTTTATCCTATTAGTCATTCATTCATTCATTTCATTCATTACAGCCCTTCACAAGTCCACTGCTGAACATAGGCCTCCCCCAAAGAATGCCACAAAGCACGGTCCGGAGCCACCTGCATCCATCGACTTCCTGCATATCTTACCAGGTCGTCACTCCATCTAGTGGGGGGACGCCCTACACTTCGCCTGCTGGTACGAGGCTGCCACTCGAGAACCCTTCTTCCCCATCGGTTGTCGGTTCTTCGAGCCACATGGCCGGCCCATTGCCACTTCAGCTTACTAATCCGTTGGGATATGTCGGTCACTCTGGTTCTACTGCGGATATCCTTATTTCTGAGTTTATCACGCAGAGAAACTCCGAGCATAGCCCTCTCCATAGCTCGCTGAGCGACCTTGAGCTTCCTCATCCGGCCAGCAGCCATCCTATTATTACACATTTTGAAATCTACCTAGCTATTAAAAGGTATTCACATACAAAACACAGCAACATTAAGCTGCTATTTCACGTTAGAATTCTGTGAGAGCGTGGTCCTCTCCGGACGAGCCGACCAATTCGTGCTACAACTATAATATAGTTGCAGAACGAACTTTACGTGGTAGAGCCATGATGCACAGCTATCTTAAAGTATGTTGCACTATACTTTCCAGATAACGGATATAATGTAGTTTATGAACTTAATCACATCGGGTCGGGCAATGGTCCAAATTATAATATAATCTAGGTGGTAACCGGTAACCTAGATTATAACAGAATACGAGAAAAAACTTTTTCAGGAGTCTTATTTGGACTGGATTCTCTTAATCAGGGTATAAACATTCATTACTGTGTTCTTCTCTGAAGGATATTTTCAATAATAGTCTTTAACGCACCACCTGTAGAAGAATATTATATAAATGTTTTAAGAAAAACTAAAATGATACAACCAAACTTATAAGGTAATATAATATGTTCTTTGAAATTTCCAGAAGCTTACTGTACTTAATCAATTTCAGTATATTATATTTAATTATCAACTCTTATGATAATTGTGCGGCGATTACACTAATTAAGCTTTCGAAGAGGAGGCTAAAGTATGGGTTAAGCATCAGCTGCAAAGGCAGGTGGATTGGCAAGGGCCATTATGTTAATAGTAAAACCTATTCGTCTGTTACATTAAGGACGGAAAAACAAGTTCGTTAACACAGCTATGACAGTGGAAGATTGTAATAAGGTAGAACTATAACATGGATATATAACCTAAAGCCTTGTAAGTAGGAAGATATTGTATATGATCATCGTATGTTATATATAGTGTAAGTTTTTATTTTTTTATTAATTTATTTCATTTAAATGATGAATATTTACAATAAAACTAGCTCGCCAGGCAGACGTTGTTCTGCCTTTTCCCACGACCCTTCCTATAAAAATTCTTAAATTCGCAATAAAAAAATTTGAGGGTCATTTATCGGGATAAAAACTATCCTATCTCTCAATTTGGAACAAAATGCACACAGTGTGCAAAATTTAATTGAAATCAGTTCAGTAATTTAGGAGTCCATCGCGGACAAACAACGTGACACGTAATTTTTTATATATAAAGATTAAGGGTGACAAATAAAGTACACCTGGTAAGTGGATGCTATTGCTCATAGATACCTACATCGTCCTCGATTAGGAATCAAAATCAAAATGCAGATGTATTGTCACATTTGAGGATCAAGATGGCCTTGTTACAAGTAAAAGAAGTCTACCGGTCTCCATCACTAACTCATCTCACTCTCTCTACGAAGCAGCAGATTTTAACACAGCAGCATTATGCTACCAGTTTACATAGGTAATATTATGTGAGCGCGAATAAAGTTGGCTGCAGGTGTCCACGGACTGCAGCAGCCACTTACCATCAGGTGGACTGTAAGTTCGCTTTTCAGTTTAATTTAAAAATACTTCACTTCACTTCACTAGTTGTCACTTCTGAGGAATGAGATATATGGAACACAGCAATGCAATGCTAATACTATTAGGAAAAGAAGTCCTACAACCACCGTCAATTGGATTAGATTTAGCGCAATTTAGTGGAACACAGCAATGCAATGCTATTAATATTAGGCTGCAGAAATGAATAGGAGGAGGAGGAGGAGGAAAAGAAGTCCTACAACCACCGTCAATTGGATTAGATTTAGCGCAATTTAGTAGAACACAGCAATGCAATGCTATTCCAATAGGAGGCAGAAATGAATAGGAGGAGGAGGAGGAAAGAAGTTCTAAAACCACAGTCAATTGGATTAGATTTAGCGCAATTTAGTGGAATACAGCAATGCAATGCTATTAATATTAGGCGGCAGAAATGAATAGGAGGAGGAGGAGGAGGATGAAAAGAATTCCTACAACTACAGTCAATTGGATTAGATTTGGCGCAATTTAGTAACAAAGTGATTGTAATTAAAGCGCCTGTAATTTTTAGTGCTTTCTTAGGCTAAGGCCTCGGTAAAGAGCGTAATATTAAAAAGTTTATCAAGCGTTTACTTTGATCGGCCGCCATGGAAGAGCACGTGTTTGTCCTTTCGAGTACAAAGTACTCTGTTCTAACACCGAACCCTTAGCTCTGGCGGATGCTCTCCACTGGAACCGTAACCTTAACCTAAGAATTAACAATATTATCCACAATATAAGTAAGGTGCGTACACACATAGCATACGTGAACTGTTTACTATAGTTTAAAATTAAAGTTAAAATTTCTAAAGTTATTGTTTATGTAAACGACGCCGTGATTAAAATTCCAGACAGAATTTTGTTCACGGCGGCAGTCTTTCAAATGAAACTAGACATCTGCGTAGGACATAGAATACAACTGCGTGCGCAAGCACAGGTGCATTATTCTTCCTCACTCACATAGTCTGAAGGGACGACAATCCGACAAGACTGGAGAAAGATTAGGCAAACGACCAGCTTTACGTACTTTCCGAGGCACGGGGTGAAACATTGCCAACTTCTTGGCTCCGGCAGTTACTGAGAATTTCTTGACAGAGAACCCAGGATCACATGACCTACAGTCAGTTTTATACGTAGTATCATCATCATTACAGCCCTTCACAAGTCCACTGCTGAAAGTGCTTTGTGACATTCCTTGGGGGAGCTACCCCTCAAGTAATGTCACAAAGCACGGCCTTGAGCCACCTCCATTCATCGACATACGTGATATAAGTTAAAGTTACAGCCTATATACGTCCCACTGCTGGGCACAGGCCTATTCTCATTTCTGATGTTTTTGTGTTTTAGGGCATGGAAATATCCGCCGCGCTGCCCCAATGCATGTTGACGAACTTCACATGTCTTCGAAATATTTATTTCTTATTGCTCAGATATGTAGATTTCTTCACGATGTTTTCCTTCACCGCTGACCACGTGGTAAATCATCACTTAAAATTGCAATTAACAATTTCATTGGTGCCGGCGGGGATCGAACCGGGGCCCGGGTTGCTCGAGTACTGTGAAAGTTACAACAAGCGCATAGCCCCTGAACTACCGCGGCATTGGCATGTTGCAAATATACTATGGTTGTAGCATGAACGTCTAACTAAGACGTCTCGCAGCTTTGACGCTGCTTGTCTGTCGTCGCGCCGGTCTGGTTATTTAAAGATGGCTTAAACGAGGTGATATACTGCCATCTTTTGAAAGCTATAAAGTTGTTTTTTTTATAGGATAGGGTGACAAACGAGCACACAGTCCACCTGATGGTAAGTGGTTGCTGTGGCCCATAGACATCTACATTTTTATCCTCGTTTGCGAACGC